GTTCATCTTGCAAACAGATGCCAGTGACTTTGGGCTAGGAGCGATATTAACGCAGACAATATCAGGAGAGGAAAAGGTTATCGCATACGCAAGTCGGACTCTAAATCCCGCAGAGAAGAACTATACAACCACTGAGAAAGAATGTCTGGCAATAGTCTGGGGCGTACGTAAGATGAAGCAGTATTTAGAGGGATACCACTTTGTAGTTATCAGTGATCACCTGGCATTAAAATGGCTAAATAGCATTGATAATCCTTCTGGTAGAATTGCGAGGTGGGCGTTAGAACTGCAACAATACCACTTTGAAGTACAATATCGAAGGGGAAAATATAACGTAATTGCTGATGCGCTGTCCCGACAACCACAACCCACATTAGCTCACCTAGATACGAATAATGAAAGTGATCGTGACTGTGGATGGCTATTAAGTTTGAAGAAAGCGGTGCAAGAAAATCCTGCGAAATACCCTGATTACATCATTGAAGGTGAGCAGTTATATCGTCGGATCCCAAACAGTTTTAATAACGAAGGCCAGCCGTGCTGGAAACTATGCGTACCACGTGATTTGCGTCTTCGAGTTTTGAAGGAATGTCATGATAGTGTCACAGCGGGGCATTTAGGTAATCAGAAGACCATTGTTCGTGTTGCGGCTAACTATTATTGGCCGGGGATGTATCGCGATATAAGAGATTACGTAAAAAAATGCGATACCTGTCAAAAGTACAAAGTTTCACAACAAATGAGTGCTGGGAAGATGCTAACCACTATTCCAGAAGAACCATGGGCGACAGTGTGTGCAGATTTCATCGGTCCTATGCCACGTTCTGTTAAGGGCAATACGATGGCACTTGTGTTTTTCGACAAATTTTCAAAGTGGGTAGAAATTATTCCAATGAGGAATGCTACAGCGTTAGGAGTAAGACGTGCTTTTCGGGAACATATTATGTCTCGATTCGGAGTACCAAAAATTCTCGTCACCGACAATGGTACACAGTTCACAAGCAAAGTATTGAAGCAATTTCTGGAGGAACTGGGTGTTCATCATCAACAGACTGCACCTTATTCACCGCAAGGCAATCCCACTGAACGAGCCAATAGGACGATAAAAACAATGATCGCTCAGAATTCAAAGTTGGACCATCGACGCTGGGATGAGTATTTACCAGAAATTACGCTGGCTATAAATTCCTCCGTTTCGGCCTCAACCGGTTATACTCCTGCGTTCGTTACACAAGGACGAGAGCTGCGTATGCCGAATACATTGTATCACTCTGTTACGACTGGCACAGGTAGGCCAATGGAAACACCAGAAGAAAAGGCGCGTAAACTACTAGATGTATATGCCATAGTGAAGGGAAACATGGGGAAAGCGGCTCAAGATCAGGCGCGTCACTACAATTTACGTCATCGAAATTGGCAGCCAAAGTGTGGTTCTCTAGTACTAAACAAAACCCAACCATTGTCCAACGCACTAGAAGCCTTTAATGCAAAACTAGCACCAAAGTTTTCGGGGCCATATGAAGTCATAGATTTCCTGTCACCAGTCATTGTAAAATTGCGTAATCTAGACACCGATAGTTTGTTGACGGCCCATATTAGTCGTATTAAACCATATTATAATTAATGGTTTTAAAGAAAACAAAAGGTAATTGCATACTAATAAATTTTACTTTAATAGGTTCAAAAGACGTATTAGCATGGCAAGAACTGTTGGGCGCGAGAACATAATGTTGGAGAAATCGAATGCGAATATACACCGGTCATGGAAACATAAGGCAGATCTAGATGAGACATTACGACGACGGCTATGTGTACGCTTTATAGAGTTGTTCGGCGAAGACTTCGATACAGAAGAAATGGCGCGAACCGTAAACGCAGCTGAAACAGAATTGAAATCTAGCCCCTTACAGTACACTCCATGTAGCTGGGATACGGAGGATGTTCTGGAATTAACAGCCTCGCCAGTAGGGTCTGGCGATGAACAAGTTATACCTCAAGCTGTACGAAATTGGGAATGCCGGCCTACGCCGGCATTCCCATACTCAGTTCAACATCAGGGGCATGTGACTCACCGGCTAAAACTAGTACAGACAGCATAGTAGAAAGTCGAGTGGACGTAAACCCAGCAGCACGCCTGCAGCGACATGGTTACAATTTGGAGAAATGGTCGAAAGGCAAAAGGCACCGATTTAAGGCCACCTTAGATGATGAATTATGTTTGATTAGAATAGCCAAAAGTGGACACATCCGTATAGATCCGTTTCCCGGAAGAAAGGAGGGAGTGTAACAACCAAAATTTTGTTAATTAAAATTTGATTGTTACAACGTCTTGTGAAGTTGAATTAATCGAAGGTTCCCATAATATAAAAAAAAGAAAAAAATTGTTGGTTACTTGATAAACACATTAAATTGAACCAACTCACCACGATCCTCTGCCATCAGCGACGTCATTTTTGCATTTGACAAATTCGGAAATTGCATGAAAGTTATTTGTCAATGCATAACAAACATATTTGAATAAAACAATAATGCACACACCTTGAGCTGTCGTTGAGAGTTTATGTTGCTAATATTTTTATATTGAAAATAAAATACTTTTAAAATAATTTTCACGGAAACATTTTCACTGGTACGACACGTTTTGTTAAGAAGAAACAAATAAGATCAAAACAAAACAGCAGAATGAAATGTCAAATTAAAAAAAAAAAGCTTTTGTACAAAGATGTGGAACTGAAAAAAAGCTTAGTCAAGAACAACTCCCAACTTCCACCTGAGTAAGAAATAGAATTCGCCTTAAAGCGGGATTTTCACTAGTGCACTGCAGTGGGATCAGCTAACGAGCTTCGATCAACGGTCGTTGAACTTTAACGTACCTACAGCTGGCACCGTTGATCGTTGACGGTATAAAACTGCGTGCACCAGGAAGAAGCTCCCTCTTGTTGTGTTCAACCGCGAAGTGCATCGAAAGATTCCGGGCCTTGGCTTCAGTAGCTGCAATAAAATTTCTTGACTAAGACGGCGGTAATTGTAAAAACATAAAGGCGAATTTAAAGTAAAGTAGAAAGTATCTATATAAACTAAGTTCTGTGCACAAAATTATGTATATTTAATAATGTCGAAGTTTTAATAATTTTCTTTATAAATTTGTGAAACTTGAAATCGAATTTAAAACCAAGTAAAAAACAAAGTCAAAAGTATATATAAACTGAGTTTTGTACATAACATTACATATATCTGTTAATATCAAAAATTTTAATTTTTATTTGAACATTTGTGAAAACATAAAAGCGAATTTAAAGCAAAGTAGAAAGTATATATATAAACTAAGTTCTGAGCATAAAATTATGTATATTTGATAATGTCGAAATTTTAATAATTTTCTTTATAAATTGTAAAACTGGAAATCGAATTTAAAACCAAGTAAAAATAAAGTCAAAAGTACATATAAACTGAGTTTTGTACCTAAAATTACATATATCTGTTAATATCAAAGAAATTTTAATTTTTATTTGAAAATTGTGAAAACTTATAAGATGAATTGTACATATAAGCGAATTTAAAGGAAACTAACGTGTACGTAAAGAACTAAAATTTTGTACATCATTATTTATTTGTTGACGAAATAAATTTTAATAAATTCTTCTAATAAATAAAAACGAAAATAAAAAAGAGAATAAATGAGAATTGTTGTTTCTTAGTAAAAATAGAAGTAAACAGGTACACAAACGAGAGCTCGTAACAAAAGAATTGGTAAAGTATAAGTTATACTAGCTTCTCCTGAACAGTACATATTCAAAGTGGGAACCCAAGTCAAAGGCACAAGTGAGAGATATAGGTAAGCAAGATTCAGGGCTTCAACAGTGACTGAATCACGGTTGCACGGGGTATAACTCACGTAGCTTTAATAGTCACGTGGGTCTATACCATAGTGTCGGTAGCGATAGGTAGCTTCAATAGTAACCTAACGCCTCCGACCCCTGGGCGCTTTAACAGTGAACAGGGAAGGGCGTGTGATCGGCGACCTGTAATACCACTCACGTAGCTTGAACAGTCACGTGTGCGGGTGTTATATCGTGTCGGCCGCCTGGTGAGTTAGTATTTGTACCACCAACTCAGTTTCGTCGTCGATTTAAGTTAGTTTCGATTAGGTTGGTTGCGGTTCTGTGCATCGACAGCGTGAAAATTTGAAGTGCCAGGGTCTAACCAACAAATTTCTTGTGTGGACCGTGGACAAGGCTGAGTTATCCCAGCTCTAAACGAACCGGCAGAAAAGGTTCATTACAAGTGGCGCCCGAGCAGGGACCCTGGTACCAGCACTTCACGATTTGAATGGTAATTGTTCCACCATCAGTAACGAGGTGATATTTAAATAGCTAACATGGGAAGAACGTGGATCCGGTACTAACGAAAAGACGATTTGGTTGGATATCTCGAAGAATTCGGCCTGGATACAACTGGAACAGTTGAGGACTTGCGAAAACGATTAACTAACTTTGTGGCGCAGGGAGAACATGCCCCTACAGTAGTTATTCGGTTGAACGAATTGGAAAGCAAACATTGCAAGGGCTCCAGTGAAGAATTAAACATGGATAAAATTACTGAAGAAACCAAGACAACAGTTTTAACATCACCAAGTCAAGATCCTGCATATACTTTATACGTGCCTCATAGTCAACAGCCTGGGGCAGCACATCAAACGTTCGATAGGAGAAGCGACATAGAATATACACAGGACAGAGATTACGTCGAAGGTTCAGAGCGACATATCATAGTCAATGAAGCGTCGGCAAGGCAATTACATTCACATCCACAATATGACTTACACTCGTATCTTCCACAGAGGAACACACAGGCAAGCGTCATTGACCAGGTCAGAAAATGGGCGATCCGGTACGATGACAACGGTGACCCCTTGGCGTTCATAGAGCGAGTGGAGGAATTAGCGGACGTTTATGCAATACCAATGAACATGTTGCCCCGTACAATGCCGGAGTTACTCAAAGGAAACGCACTGGTATGGTTTAGACATAATAAAAGAGATTGGATTCACTGGGAAGCGTTTAAAATGGATTTCTTGAAGTTTTTCCTGCCACATCTGTATTTTGAGCGGTTGGAGGACGAACTAAGGAATAGACTGCAGAAACCGGGAGAGCCGTTTAAGAAGTATGTGCTGGAACTACAGAAATTAATGAGACATCTAAAACTAAATGAAGACGAGAAACTTGAACGATTTTACAGGAATAGTTTGGTTGAATACAAAATGTATGTCAAACGCAGGGAGTTTAACACCTTGGACGAGCTCATTGCGTTAACTAGCGATTTTGAATCCTTGAGAAATGAACAGAAAAATCTTAAACCAAAAGAAACACCGATGCTGATTGAACGACGAGTCAAACCTATGACAATTGCTGCCATCGAGCCTATAAATCTAACAACGGCATGCTTTCGATGTGGTCAATCTGGACATCAAGCGCGCTTGTGTCGAAATCCACGAGTTTTATTCTGTTGGCAGTGTGGGAGACGTGGAGTGCGAACTATTGACTGCTGTCGTAAACAATCGGGAAACGCGCAAAGGTAAATCCAGCACCAGCACAACACCCTTTATAATTGAACATAATCGACTCTTTGCACAAATAAGTATCCACGGTCGAGCACTCACAGCCATGATTGACACAGGTCCAAGTAAAAGCTTTGTTCGTCCGAACGTAGTACCATGTATTACAGGTAACATCACGGACGTGAACGTAGTAGTCCGGCTCGCTGATGGCTCACCACGGCATGTGAATAACATCATTGATACGTGCTTGCAAATGGGAAGAGATGAATACCAGGTGAGTTTGTTAGTATTGGATGGAATGGTTCATGATATTGTTTTGGGGATGGACTTTTTGAATACAGCATCAAGTACGTTTTGTATAGGGGAAAATGTTGTCAAATTTGGTCAAGTCTCAAAGACCAATTTGAGTCCAGTCTCATTAAATTCCACTTTTGACGAGGAGCAATGTATACAGAAGTTCCTAGAAACCGAGTTAGCTGAATTCAAAACATTGGAAGGACTTTCTGACATTGCGTCGCATTCAATCACAATGAAGGACGATCGCCTCATCAAACAGAGGTACTATCCGAGAAACCCGGCGATGCAAAAAGTGTTGGATAAGGAAATAGACGAACTACTCAAACAAGGTTGTATTGAACGGTCACATAGCCCATACAGTTCTCCAGTCGTGTTAGTAAAAAAAAGGACGGAAGTTGGCGGCTGTGCATTGATTATCGACAGGTCAATGCTCGTTCAATTCCGGATGGCTATCCCATCCCACGTATTCAACATATATTGGACCAACTTCGCGATGCAAAATATATTAGCAGTCTGGATTTAAAAAGCGGGTACTGGCAAATTCCTATGGCACAAGACAGCAAACAGTACACGGCGTTCACAGTTCCTGGACGAGGGTTGTTTCAATGGCGGGTGATGCCTTTTGGATTACATTCGGCCCCGGCAACATTTCAGAGAGCCCTTGATAGTGTTATTGGCCCCGACATGGAACCCCATGCGTTTGCTTATTTGGATGACATAATAGTGATTGGACGCACATTAGAAGAACACACGGCAAATTTGAAAGAAGTTTTTCGATGATTGAAAGCAGCGAAGTTGAAACTGAATATTAAAAAATGTCAATTTTTCACCAAGGAAATCAAGTACTTAGGACACTTAGTAACACCTCAGGGCATTCACACCGATCCGGAAAAAATAGCTGCAATCAAAGACCTTCCACCCCCGTGTAACCTCAAGGAGTTACGAAGATGCATCGGTGTCGCTTCGTGGTATCGCCGGTTTGTACCGCAGTTCTCCAGTACTATTCAACCGCTAACGTTGTTGCTGAAAAAGGGCAAGCGTTGGCAATGGACAGAAGTACAACAAGCGGCGTTTGATGAACTAAAAGAGAAACTAACAAGTGCTCCCGTCTTAGCATGTCCGAATTTCATCGAACAGTTCATCTTGCAAACAGATGCCAGTGACTTTGGGCTAGGAGCGATATTAACGCAGACAATATCAGGAGAGGAAAAGGTTATCGCATACGCAAGTCGGACTCTAAATCCCGCAGAGAAGAACTATACAACCACTGAGAAAGAATGTCTGGCAATAGTCTGGGGCGTACGTAAGATGAAGCAGTATTTAGAGGGATACCACTTTGTAGTTATCAGTGATCACCTGGCATTAAAATGGCTAAATAG